TACAACAGAAGGTACTGCTCGATTATCTGTTACATATATATAAATAAAAATAAAATAAGAAATACCAATGTACACCCAAAATTGGAAGACTATTGCTCATGATATTGTTTGCCCTTATGCTTAGGGCCATAAAAATAATATGATCACTATATATAAAAGAAGGGGGAGAAAAATAAAATAAAATTGAAGGCTCACCAATCACAATTCATGACAGTCACATTTGAGCATACTCAACCATTTCATTAATTTTGTATGGATGAAATAAAAATGTATTCATTCTTAATCATATATATACAGAGTTCCAGAAGCATCTTAAAGAGCATATTTTTACATATGTGTATATATATAATTATTAAATATAATATATATATCTTTCTTCCTCAAAATTGTCTTCTTTTTTCTTTTGTCCATAAGTATAAGATGTACTATAAGATATTATCAATGTTGTGTATTTCTGTATTTCCCCAAAAATATATAATCCATCCCCAAATCCACTTTTCACCGCAGTTATTTCCTGCTATTGCCAGTGGCCGCCGTTGTGGATCACATAAACAGGGCGGCGGCCGCCGCTGCCATGGCCGTGCCGGTGGTACTGAAATTGGTAACCATACTTAATGGGAACTTTCCCGGCGGCCTTCTCGCCGGCGTTAGGGTGCACCGGCGGCCTCGAAGCGTGGCAGACGCACCGGCCGGAGCGGAGCAGCGATTTGGGCGACTCCGAGCCGCTGCTGCTGGAGGAGGAGGACGAGGCGGAGGACGGCGGCGATGGCGATTTCCGGGCGGAGAGGAATGCCCTGATCTTCGGCGGCGCCGAGGCGCGGTGGTACTCCTCGATCAGATTCGCCAGATCCTCGTCGGACGTGACCGACACGAGCGCGTCCAGGTCCTCCGTAGGCAATTGGCACCTCAGATTCACGGAGGCGCCACACATCTCGGCCAGCTTCACAACCAGCTCTGCAAACAGGGGAATCGAACCGAAAATATATCAGTAAAATGGAATTAACGGATAGGGACCACTAATTGGAGCATTAAGGAGAAGGAAGACTCACCGGAGAATGAAATGGAGCGGTCGACGGAGAGGACGCGGGTTTCGCCGCCGTGGTAACGGAGCTTGGCGTCGGGGTACCGGGGGAGGATGCGGCCGCCGTAGCTGCACACGAATTTGATCGGATTCAGAGCGAGAGGGTTTCGGAGATTAGATTCGACCATGCTTTGCTTCCTTTTCCGATTAGGTATTCAGGCGATTAGAATCGGAACCCTAATCGAAAAAGGAGGCTTTCGGAGTGACTGTTGCTTGAAGCCGTTATTTATACTGCTTTTGTGGGAGCTAAGCTGAGCTCAAGGTTAATTTGAGATAATTGATTCCCCACTGTGTGGGTCCCAAGGTTGATTTTCCAATTTATAAAGGAAAATGGAAAAAGAATAAATGCCAATTAATGTAATATTTTTAATAAAATTTTTATCAAATGATAAAAATATTATTGATAGATTTTTTTATTAGATATCTCCTTAAAATTACACATGTGATCAATTAGATATAACAAACATTAGAACACATTACACATGATATAAACACACTTCTCAGATGAGACTACGAGACTTCACGAGGACGACTCTACATTCAGTTATGAGAAACTAACCACATAAAAGCCAAACAAATGAAATTAAAAGAACAAACACGAAATAAAACGACAAAGTAAAATAAAGTCTATCCTCCACCAACAAGCTCCTCGTCACTATTGTTACCACAAACCCTAAGTTGTCGATAATCATCTACAAATAGAGAAAACCGCTAAAGTTGTCGATAATCCAACATACTTTTCAGTCACCAACTCCAAAGATGAAACTAAGACCCCGCAAATTAAAAGTTCGCAAAATATGAAAATTCCAGTTCAAAACTCAAACGAATAGATAAATCCGACGATGAATCATATGTCAAGCTCAATTCTACCCAAAAAACATGACATCCAAAGAGATGGGTACATCAGAAGTGAATAACCACATGTCCCGACCGTCTGTTGACATAAAAGGATGTCGTGGCGTCGGCCCCAACTTTAGGTCGGAGAGGGGACGACACATGAGAGAAGCTGAAGAGAAGGGGATAAATGTTAGTCGTTTGTTGTTTTAGAAAATAAATATATGTGTGTGTGTGTGTATTTTTNCTATCTCATTATTATCGAAGCTGAAGAGAAGCGGATAAATACTAGTCGTTTGTTGTGTTAGGAAATAAATATGTGTGTGTGTATGTGTGTGTGTGTTTATGTATCTCGTCTATCTCATTATTATCTATTTTCTTCACTCACAATTTTGATGCGATTTCAAAATAAAAATCAATTGTTATATCTATAAAATTTATTATTCATCCAACTACACAATTATAGCTACCAATTATTGTGATTAATTTGGTTTGTGCATCAACATTAAGTAGTACACTACAAACAATATACACTAATTGTGATTTATGGATTCATGAAAATCTAAGACAAATTTAAAATGGTAAGGTTTTTGCTAGACATAGCTAATAATAATACAATTATTATTTTTTTTTACAAATATGAACACTTTCAAATTAAAATGTCGTATTATATAAAACGTAACGTAAATAGAAAGTTTGACATTTTTAGTATAAAATATGCGTTTTTGTTAATAAAGATATGACGTATCGTTAGACTCGCACGAATATTTGAATCTATATATATATATATTTATTGGCACGATTCATTTAATTTTATTCTGTCTTCAATTAATAATAATATGAGTTCATTTAATAAAAATAGGTTGCATTTAATAAAAAATTCTATGACCTCCATAAAAAAACCGTTAAAACATATTTTTTTTTCTTTTAATTTATTCCATACAATCATCCACCTATTTTTTACTATATTTTAAATTTGTAATGGTTGCATGCGAATACTATTTTTTATTGGCCTAATTGCCGGTAAAATCACGACCTTGCAACTTTTTGCCGTTTTAACCAAACTTTTAGAATTTAGCAAACATAACATCACTTTGACTATTTTTGGCAATTCGAATCACCGGGCCCAATTTCGGGCTTTGTCTGTTGACGTGGCTGATGACATGGCGATTTCTGTGCTCAGTTGGATTTTTATGCTGACGTGGCTGCTGGCGTGGCTCCTGACATGGATATTTTATGCGCAGGTGGCTGTAAAAAATTTAAGCGAAGCAGGGGTTCGAACCTTGTACCTCAAAGGTGTAATGTAGCCTTATAACCACCACACCAATCCAAATTCAATGTTCAATTTGATAGCGGTTAATATATATAGACACTACATATGAATAAATCAAATTGAATTTAAAAGATAATGTAAATTATAATAATAAGATATAAACTTATAATAATTAAAATATAATAAAATAAATTATCTAATATTACAAAAATAAAATAAACTAAAATAAAGTAAGATAAAATATATTAGTAGAGTGAATTTAAATTAAATTAAATTTAAATAAATTTATATATTTATTATTTATTAAAATAAAAATGTAATATAATAGGTTTAAAAAATGGCAAAGTAAAATAAAGAAACTAATATAATAAATCATATAAAATAATAAGTTAAAATAGAAATCTTAAATGAATATAACAAAATAAAAAAATATTATTTGAATATAGTAATTTAATAAATTATTTATATTGTATTTCACTGTAATAAATTAATAAATTATTAATTATAATAATTTCAATTAATATTTATTTATTTTATTATATTCATTTAAGATTTCTATTTATTTTTATTATTTGAATTGATTTATTATTTTATTTTATATTTTACTTTTACATTTTTTATACTTCATTATCTTATATTATTTTTTTATTTTATTTTAACTGGTGTATTTAACTAGTTTATTTATTATTTTAATTTAATCCTTATTATTTTTTATTTCCAAATTTATATAATTAGTTTTATTTTAATAAATAATAAATATATAAATTTATTTAAATTTAATTTAATTTAAATTCACTCTACTAATATATTTTATCTTACTTTATTTTAGTTTATTTTATTTTTGTAATATTAGATAATTTATTTTATTATATTTTAATTATTATAAGTTTATATCTTATTATTATAATTTACATTATCTTTTAAATTCAATTTGATTTATTCATATGTAGTGTCTATATATATTAACCGCTATCAAATTGAACATTGAATTTGAATTGGTGTGGTGGTTATAAGGCTACATTACACCTTTGAGGTACAAGGTTCGAACCCCTGCTTCGCTTAAATTTTTTACAGCCACCTGCGCATAAAATATCCATGTTAGGAGCCACGCCAGCAGCCACGTCAGCATAAAAATCCAACTGAGCACAGAAATCGCCATGTCATCAGCCACGTCAACAGACAAAGCTCGAAATTGGGCCCGGTGATTCGAATTGCCAAAAATAGTCAAAGTGGTGTTATGTTTGCTAAATTCTAAAAGTTTGGTTAAAACGGCAAAAAGTTGCAAGGTCGTGATTTTACCGGCAATTAGGCCTTTTTTATTTATCTATATTTGGGAAATGTACTATTGCATGGTTACGAGATAATTTTAAACTTTTGAATTTGAATGGTTAAAAATATTTTTTTAATTTGTATGTTGACTATTCACATGCAAAAGAAGTATTAAGTATTGATATGCTATAGATATAACGCAAAATATATATGAAAAAAGTCATTTTTTGTAATAGAGATCTTTACACCAGTTCATTTAAATTCAAATTTTTCATGCAAGATTGCACAATATATTAGTTGAATTTAATGAAAAATAATTGTTCAATTTATTTTATATAATAAATATAATGATGAATTTCAATACTTTTATGACATTCATTTTTACTAACGACAAAATATTTAAAATGTGATAGTATTATTTAACTTATAATTTTATAATAATTATTTTTTTTTGTACAAATAATTTTATAATTATTCAATACACGTAACTTATAAGTTATAATAATTTAAATTATTGTGCATGTGCACCGGATCAAATATTAGTATTAAGAAAGACCCACATGCCTAGGTAGTTTTTGACACCTTTTTTATAACTCTGTGATTTCAAATGTGAAACCTCATATATATGTTAAAATCTTGGTACAATTTATACCTTTTGAATTTCTCTAAGGATATTTCTTTTAACTTTATATATTCAAAGTAAAAGCTACTCAATAATCAATATACGACTTTTATAAATTATATTCCAAATTCCAATTATTGGATGTGGTCCGGAACCGATTTTTTGAATGGAGGTGATTGGGCCCATTGTAGCACAACATTTATCGCCCATTTTTATTTTTCAGAAAATAAATGTTAGAAGAAAAACAATANTTACAAATACTAGATAACTTTTTAAAAGGAATAAGAACTATGCTTTCGAAATTAAAAAATGAAGTAAAATGATTTTTTTTTTCTTTTGCAGTGAAACTAATAATAAATTTTGACTTTAAGAAAACAATGTACTTGAAACAACTATACATATTAATATTGGCCCATTGTATATTCGCGATCCACTCAAGATGACCTTATATAAAGCATCACATATTTCCACTATTCATGTCTAACAAAATTTCTTTCAGTATATTCACACTGTTAAACTAAAATTTTTTATTTGTGGAACTTATGCCATGCTTCTGAGAATATTTAAATTCCGATAATTTGTGTAGTAATATATCATGATTGTTATAAATCCATCAAATAAATATTTAAATTCAACTATTGTAATATTTCTTTGTTTTATATTAATGCAACTGAATTAAAATTATTCTAAAATATTTAACATTAATTGTTTGTGTAAATTTGAATTTTTGCATCAAAATTATATCAGTAGAAATTTTGTTAAATGACCTACTCTGCTAGTAGCCCGTTTAGCCGGAGACTCACTTAAAAGTAAGTTATGTCTGCATATTACTAATTCGTATAAATCAAGCTTCTTTAAGCTGAGCCATTTGCTAGCCTGCTTAACATTTCTACGTGTAATGTAAAATAATTTTTCTTTATGTTTTTCTTAAGAAAATATATTTTAAAATAAACTCTGTTTTATGCAAATCGGTTAAAAAATATGAGCGTATAATGATTAGACTCTTCTAGATGGTATTACTTCAATTTATCGCAATAGTTAATTAAATTAATTAATTAGTATTGCATTGATACCAAAGGTAAATATTGTAGCATTTTTTCCTTTTTACGAGCATAACAGACGTAGCATAATACTAGTATAATATTATCACTGCTCTTCATTAATTTTTTTCCGAATCTCACTTATTTTCCTCGCATATCCACAAATCGATTGCGAAATATCGGTTGGATTCCTTATTTGCTCTTGGATTTAACTTATTTGTTTTCACCTTCGTCTCTTTTATTTTTTTATTAGAATTTTGATCAAATATAATCTTGTTCCAAAAATCATTTATTTATACCTTTTATTCTCAGTTA